AACTTAAGTGCTTTTTTGGGTTTGACATTTAGCAGCTCAGGAGTTCAGCAAGTGTGTGCAGAGGAAACTTTGGTGGAAGAGATGTAAATGCTCAAGGCAAGAAAATTGTGCCTCTCTAATATACTAAAATTAAGTCAATCGTGCAGCTGGGGCAAGGGGCAGGAATAGCTGATGTAATTTATTTGGACTTCCAAAAAAAAAAAATTCCTTGCAAAAATATCCCTACGAAGAAGGCATTAGAGAAAGCCAGTATTCAGGAAGTGAGAGCTAAAGTAGTCATGTATTAGAAATTAAGAGGCAGAGCAGGATTAAATGGTCAATTTTTTTTTCTCATGGCAAAAGGTTAACGGCATAGTGCCCGTTGAAACGTGCTGCATTGAAACTGGTGCTATCTGAGAAAGGGGATGAACAGACACCTCTGAAAGGTGGCAACATTTGCTGTTAACAGACAATTATTTCAGTTATTCAGAACTAGGGAAGATTGTGGATGACCTGGGTTAACAAAGTGAATAAATGGGCAGCGTGATGGCAAATGAAATGCAATGCTGACAAATACAAGGTTGGGCGCACGTTCAGGGGAATAATTGGAAGTACTTGTAGGCTTTGCTGGGTTCTAAATTAACCGTAACTATTTAGGTCATTACTTGCTATGATCAGCTTAGTGAAAACATTTGTGATGAGCAGAGATAGTATGAAAACAAAAGACAATGTAAGCCTGTGTTTAAAAAAAAAGGAGGGGGGGAATAGAAAGTACAGTGCCATCTATAAATCAACAACAGCAGTTCACTCATAATTTTGTGCTTGCCCTAGCTCTTAAAATATTGTGACAAAAGTAATTTTGCAGACTGGCAACTAAATGGTTAGCGAAATGGAGGAGTCTGAAAACAAGGATTTGTTTAGAAAGGAGTCAAGTAATGGGAGGCAGATGAGAAGTATTTAAAACAATGGGTGGTATAAAAAATATGAGCTAAGCATTTTCTATTTATCCTGCTAATGCAAAAAAGAGAGCAAAGTGGTCTATTTAAAGTGAATGAAAATGAATTATTTTCATAGAAACCTCGTTAACCTTTGGGATTCATTCTCCTAAGCAATCACAGAGGCTGAGAGTTCAGCAGCATTAAGCTATTTGAAAGCTATTCTTACGCTGCAAGAGGACTGGAACAGTCGTTTTAGAGTCTCAGTGCTGCTTAGTCAGAAAGCCTGTTTCTCCTTTAAAAAAGCCAGTACAGATACTAACCTGGCTCCTGCTGCTTCCTGGTTGTGAATCAGGCCTTTTAACGTAGGAAGAGCTTTCTGTGCTCAGCTTTGCTGTAGCCAAACTTTAAACAGGTTTGCAGTGTGGCGTCAGGATTGGTGCCAGAGCTCCTACTCCAGCGCGCAGAAGGAGCTGCGCACTGGCAGACGAAATGGTTAAGAATTACATAAACTCTAGAAGACTTTGCTTGATAAAACTACCTATTTTAAATGTTATTTCTGCAACTGTGACTTCCGCAGCCTGGGAGCACATGCTGACGACTGTAGCAGCTGGTGCAGTATGTGGAATGGTGCTTTAAAACCTCCTGGCTGCTGGGCTGGGGCACATTTGATTTTCTAGAGCATTTATGACCGCTCCAGCTGCATTGTGGTGTGATCTGTTTCACATGCCAGGAACTTTGATGGGGAGAGGTTGAGATTAATGATGACATAATACAGTAAGAAGAGATATTAATGCTCTTAGGCATGAATTAATGAAATACCATTGAGAATTTATCCTGCATGAATAAAGGGATTTGGAAGTTCTTGTTCTAAAAAAGCTGCATGAAGTATTTTACCAAAAAAAAAAAAATCAACTACTCCGCTGAGGTAGACAGGGTCCTAATGAACCTATACTCCGGATTCTTGTTGGAGCTGGATGGCTGAGCAGGTTTGCTTAATTGAATTACTAGTAATTGCCAAAGTGTTTATATAAACAGGTGGCAGGAGTTTTTTCCCCTAATACTGAGCTGGATTCCAACCTGTGATCACGTCCTGGACACAGACCCAGCATGCCAGCAGCGTCCTGTTTAAATCTGCGAAGTTAAGTGCTGGACGCTTACTGGAATTGTAGCAGCGCCCTTGATAAATGTGGCGGGCGACTGTCACTATCTATTTAAAAAAAAAAATCTGAGGTTTGCTCCATCATGGTCTCGCTGGCGTGAGCGTCATTGTAGGGCTGCAGTAGAGCTGGAACTGCAGAATCTTACTGCTGCATCCCAGCGCTTTTCATTCCCTGGTATTCCCAAGAATTAGTTATTGAAAACCCCAGTGAAATGTTTGTATACATACATATACGTGTGTGGGTGTGCATGTGCGTGTGTGTGTATCTATTTAGCTATCTATCTATCCATCTACCTGTAGCTTCTCTTGATTGGAAAAGTAATTTTATCCTGGGATAAAACTTTACACTTTTATGATGCATATAATCAGTTCTAGAAATAACTTTTGTCAGTTTTGAGGCAAAGTGGGAGGAAACAGTACACAGGGAGTGGTCCTTTCTGTCTTTGTTCTGCTAATGCCTGTTCTGAGTAGTTTACAAAGAAAATTGTCTTAAAAATTAGGACATAAAATATGACACATATTTTAGCCATAACTTATGTCAATTTGAAACACCTTTTATTACCTACATAAGTGATTATATGTAAACTTTATTAATAATTTCATTTCCAATTTAAAAGAAGCAAAGGTGTACTGTAGAATTCACAGATAAAGGTTAATTTTAACTATAAAGGTATTACCAGTGTTGCATTTCTTCATGTTATGGTTCACTTATGTAGAATTGAGATGTATCTTATATTAAACAATGCATAGCACCATTATACAACAGTTCACTAAATGCACATCCCATTTAATCTTTTGTAGGAATTAATATTACTGGACTGAAGTTACAAGGAAGAATTGGACTGAGCCAGGAAGTGTTCACACTAACAGGAGATTACTAGCCATAAGAAAATTACAGCTCGTCTGAAAGACAGTGCCTAAAGTAGCAGCATATCCTTGGCACCATCATAGGAACTGGTTAACTGATGACCCTGAAGAAATACTTGTTTCCATTAAGTCTGCTGTCATTATTTCGCTAGCCTTGAACTCTTCCTCCGAATTCTTCTGTCCTTCTGATCCCAAGACATGATGGCAGGAATGTGAGAGAAAACATAAAGAAATTACAATAAGCTGTCGGCTATATAATTATTTTGTAACCTACTTCACTGAGAAGTTACACCAACAGAAATTTGGCAAGGTATTGGCTGTTAGCTGCTAGCTAAACACAGGACATTCACTAGTATAACATTAAAAAAAAAGTAGGCTCACTAAAAAGCAACATCTACATTACAAAGAAGCCAACAAAAGAATTCCCTTATGATACTTAGGTTCATCTGCTTCATCTTAGGTTCCTCAGCTACGTTTTTTTTCTTTTATGAATACTTGTTACATCTGCAATTGAATATATATTTAAGGTCACAATGCTACAAACCTTTTTCCAGCATGTAGTTTCGCCACCTTTAGTTAGACAATACGTGACACACAGGAGCACTTGCTCGAATTAGGGTTGAAGATTCTGCTGAAAGCTGGTGACTTATTAGGTCATGTGTACTGTAATAACTTGTGCACCACAATTTTTAAATCCCTAAGACATGATTTCCTAGGCAGAAGGCAGCAAGAACGCTTCTAAATAGCCAGACAGACCAAGGGAATCTTTTTGTTCCAAACAATTGGCTGTAAATCCTGAATCAGAACAAATTCTTATTTCATAGAGAATTCAGATTTTAAAGTATCTCTACTGAAGAGAAGTAAACAGTCTCTGATTAAATTTTGAATGTTCCAAGGACCCTACTGTAAACATTGTAACTTTTAGTGTTAAGAAACTCACTGGCAAGAGTTATTAGTAGGGCCCTGTGGTGAAGACGGCTTTGCCTTCAAGAGGAATAGCTACTGTGTCACAAAGCATCCCGAATACAGGTACCTTGTGCTCATCTGAACCCTGGGGTTAGAGCTGAACCCCCTCCTTTTTTTACAGTGTTTGCACGGTGTCAACATTAGGAAATCTTGCCCAAAATATTTTTCTGAAATCTTAATTTTTTCAAAATGTGCCTATACCAAACTGTTCAGATAACCAGAGCTTATCAATGTATATTCCAAATGAACAGAAAGGAAGTATCTTTGGACTTTATATATATGCCAATGCTCTTAGAAGCTAACAGAATTTATAAGGTTTTCAAATGAATTTTCGCTGTTGTCATATGGGTAGTCACACTGGCCAACACAAGTCATCGTGGCCTCTGTGATGACAGGGCATTTAAATTAATAGATATTTGGACAAGCATGATTTTGGAAGTTGCAACAAACAAAGTCCTTGGCATTACACTTGACAGGCCCTGGTTGCGAGAAACAAAAGAGGTTTGGGAATCAAGAAAATGAAGACTTCAGAATTCCAAATTTGACACTGATCTGTTAACCACATCTTGGGCATCAACTGCCTTCTACAGGCAGAATGGGGACCATCATGCCTAGTTCTCTAGCTCAAAAAACTGTTGTGATAGATTACGTATTTGTATAGCACACTGAAAATAAAAGTGCTATCCAAATGCTGCTTATTCATGTTTTCCCCACTGCAAGAATATATCTTGCATCACTAAAATTAACTGCTAATTACTGCTGCTGAGAATATGATGGTAGTGTTTACCACCTTATTTTTAATTCCAATACAGATGCTTACTTAAAAGTTATGTAAATATATGAAATTACAGTACATTTTCCTAACAACGGCCCTGCTACGTCTGAGTTTGATCCTATTCAATGGTGACTATGAATTGAACAGCAACAATGACCTCTACTCAGTAGAACTATATAGGCAGTTTCCTACGATATTCTCGACACTTAAACCATAAAATGTAAGGAAGTCATTCTAAGCAGAATACAACTGGGTCAAAAGCCTACTGATGCCAATTATGCTTTGTACATAATAATGCACATTTTACCTATTTGGAAAAAAAATTCACATTTATTTACTGTCAAACAGGTGTTAAACTTTACACTGGATATTAGTGATGGGCTCATTATTAACAGGTTTACACAAAGGGATGAAAAAAGCAGAGTTTTGTTGAAACAATTTACATTTCATTAATTTTTATCATAAAATAAATTAATTACTAAATATAGGCAGAAGGAATATGGAAGAGTAATAGTTATGTTTTATTTATTTTTTTAAAGGACAGGCACCTTTTATTCACGAGAAAGCTTGTGAGAAGTGTCCAGTGTCCCCTTTACCCCTTTCCACCCAACCCCGATTAAAGAATGAAGAGGGAATTGAGTTACAATCTTTGTTAGCTATACCAAATTTGTGCAAGGCTTGGCATAATTGGCTTCTAAAACAAATGTCTCCCCAAATTATGTTTTTTGGCAATAAAAATTGAAAACGTAAGAATAAAAACTAACTTGTCAAAGCAGAACACTGTTTACAGTGAAAAATAAGTGAAAACGGGTAGAACTTGCATTTTTAACATACTACCGTACTATGAACAGAGTGTAAGAAAAACAGCTTATAACATATGTGCAACCAAGAGCTTTCCACAATATTTTCTTCAAACTCTTTAAAATTATTGTTCATGACAATTATATTTCAGTTGGACACAAATGTATTTATTTTACCCTAGCAATAGAACAAAATATAATTTCTTTAGCCATTTTTTCATGAGAACGGTTCATTGTACAGTTGAGGAAATATATGAAATAAGGCCTGTGGCTTGATTGCTAGTGGTTAGACATGTATTCAATCTTTGCCTTAATGGAAAAGATTTGCAGTGAACTGCAAACTGATGCAGAATATCTCTCCTGCTTTTGCAAGTCTTGTCAGGAATAGTAAGGTACAGTAAATTTGTCCCACAGGATTTTAGAGCCTACGCCTTGTATATAATACAATGTAGGCCTAGAAAAAAAATGGTGCAGCCATATTTACAAATTTAGTTCACAAACTGCTGCAGTAAAATAGCTGGAACGTGTTTATTTTTCTCTTTTTTCACAATTTTGTTAAATTCAGCAGCAGAAGATATCTTAAAATACCTTGTTGGTATTTCTTTTCTTTGTAACAAATAATTCATTTTAGTATACTCTGTGTATATACAAAGTTTTTGTTTTATAAAAATTCACAGAACTGCAAGGTCCATTCACCCCTGTTACACTGGAGAACCACAGGGTCAACAGAATTGTCTCTTCAAGCAGATATGAGGGAGCCTGCATGGGGCCAATTAAGTCTTTTTAATACTTGTATGTGGCCTTTAATATTTCTTTGCTACACTATTAAAGGCTTGTCACTAGTTGCATTTGTCCTTCTCTAACATCCCCTTCTGGAATACATCCTTCCTTGTTAATGGGAATTATATAGCCATCGCTATTACCCCTGCTGATTTGATAGTACATCTGAAGCTGATGGCCAGCTCCGAGATTTGGCATGCTCTTGTAGTAAATGTCCTCATTTTCGCTCCTCCTGGAGGGAGAGAGATCTTCTTCAACGTCAGGGCTGCTCGCTGGGAAAGGAGAGTCTCTGAGGTTGGGCATGCTCGTGTAAAGAGAGTCTCTGTTGGGGGACTGGAGGTGGTCGTCAGCCTCAGCCGTCAGCTGGGAGACGTAGCTGTCGGTTCCTTCGGTCTTCACTTTCTTCTGGGGCTGGTACAGAAGGGAGTGAGTCCGCTGAGGAATAAGGGGGGCCTCCAGCTCCTTGTGGTGGAGCTCCAGTCCGGGGGTGTCGCTGTGCATCAAAGATGACGCATCTGCCACGATGGCATCATCTTCGCTACTGCTCCCGCCGATCACAGCTTTGGTTGGCAGCGTGCGCTCCAGGTTGTGGTTCTTGCTGCTGCCCCGCAGGTTGTTGTGCACTAATTCTGAAATGATCATTTTCTCAAAAGCAGTATCATTCAGGCTTAGTCCACAGTCTACAACTTGCACACTGTCGTTATAGTCTCCGTTGCGCAATGAGTAGCTGTTGTTGAAATTACCATTTAGCGGTAGAGTATCCATGGCACTTGTATCCCTGGCATTGTTCAGTGAATGTCCTGAAATGGAAAAGGATAGCTCTGGTTATCACGAGATGTGCTTTTCAGTATTTTTTTTTTTAAACAAAATTCTTTAATGTAGTTCAGGACAAAGTAGTACTTGGAAGTAAGACTCGAGAAAAGTTAGGTTATTGCACATTCCCAAATGTAAACAGTTGCACACCTTATAGGAAAGATGTATTTTAAAAAAATAGCAACATGTATTTCCTGTGGCATTTTAAGTTCTTAATTTAGTGTCAATTCTGTGACTCTTCCACAAGGAACTGTTCACTCCATGCCCTTGCATATGTAATGCAAAGCAATTTATTTGGAAACATCTACATTTTGAAATACAACACCATGATTTAGAAAAATAAAATTAACAGAATTTGTCCTAAACGACACTAAATTAAAAAGGAATTAGATCACAGACATAACTGAAGGTAAATGTACAACATAAACCCACGTAACTGGCAAGCAACTACTTTATTTTAACGACATTTCTAAAATTGTTTCCCTTTTTTTGAGATGAAGTAAAGAAAAGAATGAAAAAAATGGATAAATACAAAGAATTTATGTTCAACAAGGACAGCCATCTTTCACACTACAGGGACCAGGGCCCACAAGCACCATCCAACAACACGATAGACAGCAGGTGGAATGACTCACTTTGGACAACTCACATCATGTCTGTCTGCTCAGGCTATCTGGCCTAAGAGTAGCTGATATATAAAAGAAAGTAAAATGATTTATTGTAACATGATGAAGAATTACTGAGCTTCTCAGCAACTTAGTCAGAGCAAGGGTTCAGCAAATTAGATTACTAAGCAATAACAGCTTTTCTTTTCCCACTTAATGTAATTTTTTTGCACTAATATTCTGTCTGCCAACAACGGCCCCAGGCTTCTAAAGGTCAAAGTTTGCCTGCAGTCTGCATCAGTCACAGTGACAGCGCTGAATGAACCAGAATAGTTAATTAAGAGTTCGGCCCACGGTTACCATGGCCATGGAAGTCAAATGCAGAAATGTTAGGAATTTCTGTAAGTATGGGTCACAGAAATTAAACCAAAGAATAAATATTAGTCGTGGAATGGGAAGAGGAAATCAGCCATGGCTGATATCTTAAAGCTGCTGGAGGAATGACAGATTGGGTAAGTCTGCTGCAAACATGAAAAGAAGTTCGAGGGGTGGGGGGGGGGGGGGAATGAAGCCTTATGATGATTAAGGTCTTTATGTTTTTGGTTTTGGCTTTTTTTGGGTAACACAATAAAGAAATGTTTTTTCTATAGACACAAAGACATGTAAACTATGACATCACAGCGCTTCCCAAGCAAAGAAAAAAGAAAAAACTTTGAAAGAAAGCAAACAGCCTGAACCATGGAAAGTTAGATTGTTAGAACACTCCTAGAAAATCACTGTATCTACAGATATGGCTGGAAGTAAAGAAAGAATGGAGTGATGTTACTGAAATGAGACTGACCACTGTGAGGCTGCTGCATTATATGCAAGGCTTGGAGGAGTATAAGAAAAAAGTTGTTTTGAAAAAGACTATACGTTTTCCTGTTTTAGGTTTGTTTCGTAATTAAAGCTGCAGCTTATCCTAGAAAATTCAACCTTCTCTAGAACATATTGTTTTCAATTAAAAAGTAATTGCATTTTCTCATGAAATGATTTTTGTCTTTGGCTTTTAAAGCATAGAAGAATTATTTCCAAATAAATTCTGTTTGAGCAATTTGCAAATCATTTTATATTTGTGTTATTGTAACTCTTCTCCATGTGTACTGATTTAAACAGTGATGAGGGTTGTTTGAAAGGTCTCTTTAAGCTTTGATTAAACAACTTTGTAGTTCTGCAATTTCATATATGTTGCAAGATTTTCCTTGCAATGGATTTAGCTGTGCAGAACATATGGCATTTATAAAAGTAGACAACACATGGACCACATGCTGGCATTCATTTCCCTCATGAAAGTGATTTAATTCTATAATTTTCATTCTTTTTTTCTTCTGCTAAACAGATACCAAAACATATCTGATAATCCTAAATGAGTTTTCTATGATATACTGCAGAGTTAAGCATGCTAGAATATATTCAAATTGGTTTGATGAGGCAAATTTTGTTGCCCATGATCAGGTAATTCATCTGAAATCTTTCCATAGCCTGTAGCAAGATTACTGTGGGAATGTAAAAATACGAGTAAATTGTTAAGCATTTCTGCTTGACACTGCTTTGGTTTTAAACAGCAAATTATTTCAGCATTGCAAAACTTCTGTTACCAATAGGGTTTGCTACAGACCTCATGTTGTTTTCCAAAAAGCAGTATGCAAGTACTTTTTGAATGTGGAAACATTTCATTTGCAAATTGTGAACCACTTGCCCGCTGAGTCTACTTCATGACCGCTAGTTATGTTTTAATTGTGCCCATTAAAAATCATGCTGAAAAAATTTACATTTGATAGGCAAAGTTAAGTTTTACTCCCATACTTGTCTCTCTGTAGGTTGCTAGAGGAAAGCATAAGGAAAGTAAGAAAACAAGAGAATGAAAATAGAAACTACAGTTCAGTTAAAAAGGAAAATTGAAATAAAAACTGGAAGCAAGGTTTTATGAGCTTTTAATCAAAGATTTAACATAATTTAAGTTATCCTACAAATTATCATCCAACTGTAACCGCTAGATATTACTGATGATTGCTCTGTAGTTAAAAAAGCAACTAGATAACATAACAGCAAAATGTTAGGTAAGCGATGACACCCTTTATTCCTACAGAACTAAACTGTTCTAACTGCTAATCTCAGGATTTTGTTAAAGGAAATAATCTACCATAAAGCTGCACTATACTATAGTTTAGATCCATTTGACGCTGGATACAATTTTCTACACTGCAGTATCCAAAGGTGTCAAGATGCCTTGCGCTGCTTTATTATCTAATCCGCTCCGTAAGCAGGTTTTTCTCAGCAAGAAACCTTATATTGCATAGATGTGATACCTCTAAGTGATATATATCTCGAAGATGGGCTCTCGGACCATGTGGTGTCAGTCCTGTAATAGTATATTAAGATTTATGCCACCTGTGTTAAAAACATGGATAATTATTGGTAAATACTGTTATGGCAAAGGCATTACTATAATATAGTGCAGTTTTACAAGCTGACATTGGCAATACTGTATTTCTTGAACTGACAGAAATTCAGAAGGTAAGGCTAGGATATTGCAACTTGAGTTTCTATCTAGGGAGAAGAAGGGGTTTGGAGCGAGCCAAGAAAAGCAGTTTTATTCAGGAAGTATAAGCACACCTGGTGAGTTAAACACAGGAGCTGAAGGGGCATTACATACAACTGTTTCAGCGAGCAATGTGTTATAGGGGTTGTTAGTGCCATGTGGTCGAAGAAGAGGGTTTGTTAGTAGGTAATTGCCAGTCATTCCTAAAGCAAAAGAAATAGAAAAAAACAAAAAGTCAGTTCTTTAATTTTATTCTGACAGTTTCAATAAAGACTATTTTTTATTCATCATGAATCATGTAGAACTTGTCAAATGTAATTCAGCTGAAAATTTCTGAATGTATTTGAAATGGGAGTAGGAAAATAGAGTTAAATTTCAGTAATTCACAGGTGCTGTCCAAATCCCCAGAGTAAACATCTGGTAAGACTGACATTTACTAATGTACACAAAATCACTGTTACATAAGAAGTAGCAAATAAGTATGTAGAGATCAAGGCACTACATAAAGCTATTATAACTTAAAAATGATAGTATGGCACACTTCTGTCCAGAACTGAGAGAACCAAATTTCTTAAATGTAAGGGTACTGAGAAATTCCTTTATGAAAGGATCAGAGTTGTTATTCACTTTATTAAAAACACACAGACAGTGGAAAGGAATCGCTGTTTTCAAACAGACAGTGGATGACAAACGGCAAGAAGCATATCTTAGTATATGCAAAAGTATGCATGCTGAGGGGAAAGCAAAATATTTGCTCTAAGAAATCAGTGTTCATATTTTCTCTCGAGACATTCATGCTGCAAATCTATCTGCCAGGTTTTAAAAAAGAATTCCGTGAATGAAAAATTTTCAAACAGTCAGTTTACAAATGCTGTAAGATGAAGTAAAATATTACGTGAATGAACAGATTTTTAAAAATCCATTATACGTGTTAAACATGCAACATCTACATGACTCAGAGTAATTATATCAAAATCAGCATATTTAGGGAAATTGTTAAAAATCAGTTAATCTGTGATTTCTAGATGCTAAGGAAAAAACAGGTTGGAATAATGACAGAAAAAAATCACATAGACCATTGTGATTTAAAACATACTTCAAGCATCTCCTTAAGGAAAAAATTCTACTCTCCTTTCTATTGCACTGCACAGCAGTACATCAGGATCAGTGTATCACAGGCCCAAGGACAACTAAAGAGCCAGCTATATTTTTATACTATGGTTACACTTATCAGGATTATGAAGCAATGACAAAGGCAGTATATATTCTAAATATTAATGCTTTTGTACTACCACAGATATTTGGAAGGGGCATGTAACACCAAATCCTGAAATTCAGAAAATTGTTTTATTGCCTGATTATGCTAATCCTATTTGACACTTTAATTCAGTCAACAATTAAATGGTTTTATTATAGCCTTTTCCAGTTACAACCTACTTATTACTAGCAATACTAACTGAAATACATGTTGCTTCTTCTTGTGTACTATGTTTAATTTTAGTTTGAATTATTACCTGTAATTTATGGCAATAGGATTTTTCTTATTCTGTCCAATACTTTTGCCACCTTTAAAAGCCTGAATTTTGTTTTAAAGGAAAAGTGATATTTGCTGTTAATTGCTAAATTACCCTTAAAGGTATATTTCTTTGAGATAGTGATAACATAAAAATTGAATAATAATGCTACTAATTTTTCTAGTCATGGCAGAACATCTCCAATGACTTGGGACTGGAGCTCTGAAATAGGAAGACGCTCCCAAGACCTCTGCTCAACTCTGAATTAACTGAGGCTGGAACATGGGCAAAGCAAATGAAGGAGTCACAGACATCAAAATGATGTGAAATCCCAGATTGTTATCTATGACTCATTCAGAGGATTTTAGTTAGGCCCTGGAAGGGAAGGTACTTCTTGTTTGGGCAGGAAAAAAAATACATTTTTTACTTAGCGTAGATTAGTTGACTTTGATTTTGACACAGGATTGCAAAAGATTCAGATGGGAGAGCAGTGAGACATACAGGTAGGTCTTCACCTACTTTTTATATGCCAAATAGCAAAAGCAGAACCTTGCTTTTTGAATTTTTTTCTTTTGCAAAATAGTACACTTTTTAGTCCCATAATAAATGTGAGTCAAATACATGACCCTACTACTGAATTTTGAAACAACAAGGAAAGAAAGTTTGCCACTGATGGTTCATGAAGGTTTTACAGCAGCCCTGACAGTGGTGAATTTGCTGTTGGAAACTTTTTCATTTGAGCAAGAACTGCCTGGAATGAGATCAAGCCTACGTATTCTTCTCTTAGGGACGTGGGTATGCCACTTGGCTCACACATGACAGTCTTCCCTCCATTACTAGCTCAAATCACCTTAAAAAAATAGAGGGAAGGGAAGAAATAAAGGGATATTCTGTCTCAGTTAATACCCTTGTCTTGTAACCGGACATAAAGATGAGGCTAAGGATTTCAGAAGTGTGTCTGAGCTAAGAAATGTGGAGTTTTGCCTTTGCTGGGCCTGAAAATCTGAATTCTATCCCATGTGACAGATACAATGCTCTTTGTAATAAAAAGATAAATGCTTTACAGACATCTTTTGCAAAGAAATGATATCAATTAGATTTCACTGGGAAAATTTCTGCACCTAGGAATCATACTCAAATATGCTTTAAAATGTTACTGCACTCATATTTCTGTTTCAGATTTAACCTATAAAGGTTAGGAAAGATTTAAAATTATGATCTTGCTTTTAAGTTAAATTATTGATGAAGATTATTTAAATACATTCTTCCCACGAATGGAGAAATTCGACTTCTATAGCAGGGGGCCAGTTGAGGGGGCAAGGTTTTAAAATGTGCTAGTGGGTGACTTTAAAACTCTGCTTTTAGAGATCATTCGTTCCAGAATTTTTTTCAATACATTCTTTTCAATTCTTCTGTGTTAAATGGAATAAAATCTATATAAAATCTAAGTCTTCTAAAACTGAAATGTTCCCAGTGACTGACCTTGATTAAGTGTTGAAGTACTGTTGATGTCACCTGAGATAAAAGAAGATTCAGATTGTTTTCTCACAGTGTCATTCCACATCCTCCTTATACGACTCTGTTAACATAAACCAATGAGACAAAAGCATAGTAAGTTGCAAAAAGATTTTTTTCTGCTTATGTGCTATTATGTGGAATATTCACATTTATTTTGGCCTAAAGCAAGACATTCTTCTAGCATTTTAGTAGAACTCTCTCTTCTGTTATTAAAAGTCTAATTTATTAAATTTCATTTATATGAAACATGACGGTATAAACCTTCCTAATAAACCAGCTCCTAATTACAAGAAAAATAAGGTGTTTGCATTAGAAAAAACTAAAAGGAAATGTTTAAAAAGAAATCAATTCTAGCATGCAGAAGTATGTATTTGCTATCTAGATGATTATAATGAGAATACAATTAGTGCATCTGATTGGAACACATCTCGGTAGGCTTTTTATAAATAAAGTTACTTAAAAGATGCTGTCAAAATCTTTGTTACCTGAGTGCCAGAGGAATAGCGTGCACTAGTTCTTGTTGTCGATGCCTTCACTGAACTGTGGGGACTCTCCGTTGGTAGCCCACCACAGCAGTAGGAATGTCGGAAGCATTTGCCATATTCCTTACGTACCTGCGGAAAAGAAACAGAAACAGTTAGTACAAAAAATAGTATCAAATATCTTCACTGGCAAAAAGAAATGAAGCTTGAATTCAAACAATTCAAATATTTTTCAAAAACATAGTTCGTTGTCCTCTGTTGAAATGCTGGCTATTAACAGAATCAGATACTTCTTCCTACTTAGTGGCACTGTTATCATGGGCTACCCAGGATTTTTGAGCAAATTATTTCCAAAGGATTCACACATTTACACACGCTTCATTTAGATGTGCCCAAATAACTGTCACTGAGTTATTCAGGAGGTTATTTTTATTGTGTCTTCATATTGTGATAGTTAAATTTACCTGAATTGAATACTATCTGAAAATAGTCCCTTTTGTATTAGCTTTTCATGCAGCAATCATAGAAAGCCTATCTTCCCATCCTTGCACGCAAGAAGGGTTGAAGCTGTTAGCATTTGCACTTCTTGTTACTGCCCATTTAAGTTATCACCTTCCAAAAAAGTGTGTCAATGAATAGACTCTCTAAACTACAAACACATTTTCTTAAAAAGCTACTCTGTGTAGCTCAAAAGTTGGCTAGTTTCTGTAGTCACACCTGCTTCAGGTTTGCACAAAACTCCCAAAATAAACTGCCCACCTCTATGCAGAGCAACAGCTACACTGGTGGAGGCACTGTCAGTGTGGCAGAGCCAAAATCTGAGCTGTAAAATCTGGGCAATGACATATCTTTCACTTTTAGGACCAAAAAATAAAATCCTTGTTATTGTTTATGTTCACTGAATTTAGAAACTTGAACACACTTATATTTATGATATTTCTGTTCGCTAAAAGAGCAACAAAACAAAACAAAGTAATGACTTTAGGATTTGGCCTACATTCATTCAGCTTCTGTTTCTAGCAAACGACTGGAAACTTTAGCTTCGTTAATTATATGTGTCAACACTTGTCATAAAAGTCATCAGGATTAGTTTATAGAACATTTAATTCCCTCAAATTTCATGACTACTACACTGACTACTGTTTTCAAATAACATAAGAGTGCATACACACCTTGGCAGCATGACAGGTTCAGTGAAAAGAAACAACAGACAAAATTTGCAAAGAAGCATAAGTGTAAATTCATAACCCTTTTAGGTACTTGGGAATCTAAGTGCCTCTTCTTGAGACTCCTAAATTTCTGTGAAAAAATGATAATTAGGCTAATTGTAAATTTTGCCTGACCTATGAATATAGGGGACAAAAGAAAGCTACGTGTTAAACAAGGGGAAAAAGGAAAAATCAAAATAGCGTGGGTCTTCATATGTCACGTGCTGCTTTTAATATTCCAAGAATTTTAACCGCAGAATACAAACTATGATGTTTCTATAAAATGCAAAGGTAGATGAAAATTTGAATGGTTAATGTCTTAATTTCAATCTAGAGATAGTAATTTATCATTTTATAAAGGTATATTGTTCATATTTTAAGAGCATATTTTGAACCTATACCAACATAAAAACATACATATAAAAGCGAAAACAGAAATGCACACATATAGAACTATAATCTTTAACTTTGTATTCTGAAGAATATAAATCCATGTATATCATCACTAGATGGTATAACACCTAAGCAAATACATTCCTGAACATTAATGGATATTAAATGCTCTGAAACACTACATAATACAGACAATAGCAATCAAAGCTGTATTTTTACCCAAATACTACCCTCCAGGGCTGGTTTTGCCTAATGCCTATATTGCTGTGAATGTACATTATCTGTCAGTACTGCGCATTCCACTGTCATTATTTCTAAATTATGGCTTGTTGGAAACTGATGGAAGCAACAGCACTATCATCTTGTCAGAACTGGAAACATAATAGTTTTCACTTTCACAAATCTATTTCTCTGTTCAATTTAGTGACCAACTAGTAATAACAGAATAAAAAGACTACATTAGCTATGCAGACAGAGGATAGGATGATATCTAGTGAAAGGCACTGAAACTTGGAAATCTTAAATGGCAGCTTTAACATTCTTTCAGGTATAAATCTTATTGCTGTAGGTTATGCTTTTCACACTTGACTGGTATTTTAATATTGCTTTTTGCTGACTTCACTTAATATGTGAAAACAATGCACAATTGTAAAAGGAAATAAAAACAGAAACTGTTTTGGGTTTTCAAGCCCAATGCAAGTGGTAAAAAGGGCAACATTATATCAAAACCTAATCTAGAAATTATTTGCATTTTGAGAATGTTTGCATTTTCTTCCCCCTCTTCTTTTCTTTCGCTCAATCTCCTCTCTAAGTGTGCTTTTGTTCCCCAAAAGTGAAAGGAATGTTGCGTTCAGCTTGACAAAATTCTATCCTCCAAATATTTTCCTAAAATATGTTTGAATGCCATTGTCTACACCAAATTTAGAGACACTGATACTGTTAGAGCTGGTACAGTTCAGAACACGCAAGAATGTGATTTTGCACTTACCTAGCAACCCTTTATCCAGTGGTCTCAAACCACATTATAAATATCAGTCAATTATGTCTCTGGTGAGCTAATCCTAATGGGAGTTAATAATTGCTAGGTCTCCAGCCTAAAACTGGTAAAAATGTTTAGAAAATAAATATTGCAAATTGGATATTTCCAAATTGGGGATTTTTCCCACTTTTTTCTTTAGGTTTTCTGTGGGTTTGACATTTACTCTTCCTCTCTCCTCTCAGTTCTTGCTTACTTCCATTTGCCATGCCTTCTAATGCAGTTTATGAGCTTTTTTTTTTAATCCTTCACTAAAGCACCTCTAAAGTATTCATGGAGGAAGCCTCCATTCTCTGTCTGTGAGAGAAGGGTGCAAGAAATCCCGAGAGAATTCCCTCCTGCTACGACTTCCTTCTTCTCTGTTTGTCCCTATTTCCCCTACAAATTTTCCTTCTCTGCAGCAGATCTCCTTGTGGACCCTCTTGCTCCCACCAGGCAAAGGGGAGCGGAGCTAACTTTAACACATTCCCCTAGCTGGGAACCTAACCAGCACTATGGGCCAGGCTGAATTTCCTCCTTCCCAGGGCTCCCAGTTTCTCTGATTAAGAGAAGGTAGCTGTGGGATTGCTGGGGGAGGCAAATTTGAAAAAAACAGAAATACTGGCATTTTGGAAAAACTCTCCCCATTAGCAGCTGCTTAGCACTAACGACTTCTTTTTTCTAAGGTGTGCTGAAGTTCATAATGAAATTAATTTTTAGATATCTCTTAATTTTGTAATGAACAAGCACTCTTATCACAATCCCTGCCTATCATCCTTAGGTGATGTGGCAGCTTAATAGGATCTCAAGAGAGGCCCTCTACCGTGATCTGAAAAGAGAGAGAGTTTCCAGGTTGAGATGCAGTAATATTATAAATGATTCCTTCTTTGCAGTGCTGCAGTGCAGGCGGGATTTGTTTTGTGAGCATAAAGGACTTTTGGCTGTAAATCCAGAATTATATATATTGCATTACCAGTGTTAAGCAGTACATTTTCTATAATAAGTTTCTTCCCCAAACTGCAAAACTTTTAAGCAAATATCAAGCCCAGGTAGGAAATGCTACACCCAGTCTGAACCTGCTCAGGCCACAGAGCAGTTAAATGACTTCCACAAGCACACAGGAAAAATTGTTTTAGAATACTATTCCCTTCCTCAAATTACCTTAAAACACTCCTATTGTTGAAAATGGCTTTTTTTTCCCTCTATTTTTCAAGAAATATATGTGGTATTTTTGAGGAGTTAGGGAGCATGTGTATACATTTTCAGTAACTTACTTTCTTTTGTAGGGCACAATGAAAGATGAAAATAAACATTCCTTGGAAAGCATTAAATACTGTGAAGAGATATGTCATCACAACAGTCCCCTCATTGATAAACAGCAGGCCAAATGACCATGTTAGGCCAAGGAGACACAGGAGAGCAAATGCACCCAGGACCCAGGATCTGTAAAAGAAAATTAATTTTAGTAACATTACTTACAAAAATGCATGTCACCAAATCCAATATTAGCATTTCAGTTCCTGCAGTTGACTTTTACTAGGTTCATATTCACATGTAAAAATTCCTTGGCTTTAACCTTTTATCTATTAAAGAAAGAACAATTCCATTTGGTACTTTTAGTCTCCAGTGAAAACAGCAAGAGTAGATATGACCTTTTTCTTTCTCAAGAAGTGCACAGGATGTCAAAACTATTTTGAAATGCAGAAGTATAGCACAAGCCCCAGCTACTCCATTGCTTTATCTGCTTTTGTAAAAGAGATTGATAAATCTGGCTTAACCACTAATCACAGCATAGATTTTAAACAGTGGTGCTGCCATATGACACCAAATAATGTAATACAAATGTACAAAGGTTAAACAGCAGATTAAAAGCCTAGAGCCCAAATCTTTAATGCTCCGATAAACTCAGCTAAACTGAAGCTAGATGATCTAACTTCCGCATGAAGAAACCCTGCTGAAATGTGACAAAAATATGGATATCGCTCTATAGAATAAAGTCTAAAAAAGATTCCATCATGAATAGTTTAAGGAAAAGGAATTGTAGAGAACGGCACAGGATGAAAGGGAAAGGGAATTTAGTCAGTGAATTCCACATCTAACTAATGATCTTACTTGATAAATGGCTTATTATCTTCATAGCTAGAAAGCATTATAAGCAGAAAAGAGAAACAAAATTATTAGACAGAATTGAAACAGAAATTAATAAGAGCATTTTTAATTGTCTATAAAAATTAGTCAAAATTAGGAATTTAAAATGCAGAGGCAAGCAATTTAAAATTATAAAGGCATATAATACTTAAAAATACTTTAGCAAATCAGATATCTCAAAACTAGTTAATTAAAATTAAGGGCAATCCACAATATTGACCGAGTTTGTAAAGTTAAAAGTCATGCTAGAAGTTTGTTAATGTAGGGTTCTATCTTACCCAGGTAAGTCCGTATTATAGTAGCCATCACAAACACGGTAATTACTGGTGTGGATGAGAAGACAGAAAGAGGAAAAGGAAGAAAAGAGAGAGATGCTAAAGATTAGCTCTCTCTCTCATCATGCAACATGCAATGAAGCTGATACTGACCTATCTATAACATCTAGTTCACAGTGTTAGCCTTCCTGGAAAGTCTCCCTTTGCCATTTCAGCGTTCAAAGTATATCTGTAAAACCCTTTCACATCCAACCCGTAGAGATCTAAAGTTGCACCATCCCTTCAGTGTCGATAACAAAAACCTTCAGTACAACATAAAGCTAATACAATACGCTAAAAGACTATCTAAAAAAGCAAGAGCTGTCAAAGTCTTTTTAATTATATAACACTTGTATTTTTCTGCAAAAGGGATGCTGCAGTACAGCACCAAGACAGAGTAAACATTTGTTAAATTAACATGAAAACAGCAGATAATCTTCAAGTTAACAATAATAATAGAGTCAATTCTCTTGGGAGAACAGGATTACGAGTAGAAACTGCTCAGAATCCCTAAATCAAAAAGTCATTTAACAAAACAAACTTAATACAATCATATCAGCCATGCAAACAGGAACATCATTTTTGAACTGCATTTTAAATGCAAATGAAATTACTACAGTGCTGTGGCATTTCCGTGAAACAGTTTCTCGGCACTACTTCCAGGCTGAAATTATCTAATTTTGACCAATGTTTGTGACATTGTGGCAACAATGTGACGAAAGCAGGATTGGTTCTGTTTGCTTCTAATTGACATCTGCAGTTGCTGGGAGACAAAGGCATGTGTTCCTAATGGAGAGTAGCTTTCAATCAGTTCAGCAATCAGAAAATAATCATAGTTCTCATACTTGAACACAAAGCACTTACTTAATGTTTTCCAACCTGCTAGAGTCTGGTTTCAAAGTATTTGAGTGCTTCACCATTTTGCACAATGTGATCACCAAGAAGATAAGATTCAACTGTCAAAACAGATAAGAATGAAATTAAACTACTTCAGGTAATACATTGAATAATGATGTTACAGACTAAACAAAAACCCCACAGTTTATTTTCAAATATCTAGCGATACTGGGTAACTTTTATCAGTTTGTAGATGGTGACTGCAAATACAAGCGAAGGGCAAAAATGTTAAAAATACTTGCTCTATTTAATTTTGCCAAATTGACTATATCGTCCTGAAGCAGCCATTTTCCGCTTGTGTCCAAGACTTACCACCATCAGTTTGGCTCTGCCTTCCTGCATGTTGCTCTCAGTTGCTCTCATCCCCCTCTTCACCTCTGCCTATCCATTCTGGTCCTGCTCCCTGCCTCACTGGCTTCCTCTGCGGGCTACGGTTTCCCTTACTAGTCCTAGTTAGCTGCCTTTGCATCATTCCAGATGGCTGGTTCTCTCCCTTTCTTTTTTTTAAATACCCTTTGGTTCCCACAAATGCTGTCTTGTAACATCTGAAGAATCTTGAAAACCTGGTCCTGAAAACAGCTTAAATGTAACCATAGAATAAGAAAAGCAAAGAAAAGGGAAAGAAAACACAAAGATGTAGCAAATGCATCAAACTTAACGGTGGCATACATATATGCTCTGGGTGTGCCCTCCTATTGCCTCCATTCTTTTTGTAGTCTGGGTTTTATTGAAGTGAGACTGTATGTCATTTGAAGGAACGGACTATGCCGCCTTATTCTTGTTGTGTCATTCATATAGATAATCCAGGGGAAGACACTAAAAGGTAATTTTTTATAGTTTTCATATAGTGAAACAAAATCACAGATAGCAATGATATTAGGTGCCTTTCTCCCATTGATTTCAAAGCATGTGAAGAACACGGGTAAGCTAAACATGAAGACGTCTGCACAATATGGCTTGAAAAGATGTGTATACTTCATTGGAATAATTAGCATGTGCTGTCCTATATCATGCAAACAATTCAAATATAATCATATGGTTGAAAATGCTAAAAGCTATGAGATCTGTGTCTACTCATGGAGAAGAGATCCATCCTTATCCACTGGCACAGTAGTCCACAAGAAAGGCCTAAACTGACAGAAGCTGGGAGAATATGCTAGGAGAATATCCTCATAATATACATACTGCATAGATAAGGATTATAATAATTCTATTCTTATAATCGTCCCTATACATCTGAAATCGACTACTGAAGGAGAATGATCAAGCCCTGTCTCCTATTTTGGGGAGCCAATGGTTTGAGACAGCATCAGACTCCTCAGATCTTCTGTAGCATTGTGGTTACTAGTTCACACTAGAGGTGTTCCCACAGCTGTGCCATAATGTTCAGAAATGTCACTCAAATCCTAATAAAAGACAAGGTCTTAACAATTTAGAAAAAAGGAGCATTTTGAAGGCTCTGATCAGAGTCTGTTAATAAAGACATACACTAGAGAAATAATTCCTACTGCTAAGGGCAACCGACTGCTGCTGCTGTCTCAAAATCTGATGGATACTATGTACCATAATGCAGGTCTTAACACCAGACTGGTGTTGGTCAGCTTTTTGAGCTCAACAGTCCTGATTCCAAGTGAAATATTTTTTCCAGTTGAACCTTGTGATTAATGTAAAAGGTGTGTATGATACAAACAAAAATAAGCTTTTATAATTTTCCTCTGTGTGTCTCAAGAACTGACAGAAATTACTTCCCCTTTAAGCACGAGTATAGGCATGGCATAAGTAAGCAAAACTTCCATTTCTGCAAAATGTGACAGATGTGTCTATATCTTCTGACCCCACTGATCAGCTTTTATGATCCTTATGGGTAATGACTAAGCAGCTTAGAAACACTTCATTATATCATTGTGATCCTTCTGTTCCTCTTATTGAGGTTTCCACTCTTCTGTGTAAGGCACGTAGGTGAGAAAATAAGTTGCTTCTCTTTGTTCTGTGCATCAGAATCAGGTTCTGCATGTGATCTGGCTCCCAGCTTATAAATGTTTCTTATGCTTTGCGATAGCTGATATAATATGAACAACTCCAGCTCACCTAAAAATGTAGCTTTGATTTACTTTTTGTAGAAATAAACTGGTTAAGAACGAAGAGACATGTCCCATGCCAATCTCAACATGTAAATCAACTTTGGCTGCAACCTATGTAACCAGGAGTGCATAGTCCAGATCAGAATACTATTTATAGCACACCTGGAAGCTAATCCTTGCCTAAGTAGTTACCCTGAAGTCTCCTGTATGTACCAACAACATCTTTCTTGGATCAAACGCTCATAGGCATGGCTTAGCCCATAAAGGACCACCTTATGAAAGGAGAGGCTTTTTTTCTCTGATTTCTTTGTACAATTGAAGTGCTGGCTTGATATATAAAAAACAAAATGTTGTGTTTAAATATTGAGGTTTCTTCACTGACACACAAGGAGATGTGGCCCTGCCCTAGAGCCTGAGCCAAGCTCCAGCATATTAAGAAGGTTTTATGTAAATACTCTGCTCTGTCTACATGTATGTACTTGTTGGATTAGGGAATAGCTGTGCATAACAGATTCTTAATAGACACTTTAATTCTAATTTAGGAAACAAAACCCTAAAGCAGGCCACTGAAATAATAATGCTGTATCACGGTAGCTGAAAAGATCTTCTAAGAAAAGAAAAGAAAAAAAAAAGTAAAATATTGTGCTTTGAAGACAAAGTAACTATGACAACAGACCATACGATGCTTGTTTCTCCATCACTGTGAAATACTGCCTAGTTTTCAATTTCAGCAAAGAAAGACCATCGTTTGCCACTTGTTCAAACACACTGGCATCTCTGTTACACACTGTCATTATCAAAAGCCTATTCTGCCTGCTTACAAAAACTGTAACCAAACCTTTCTGTAGATGCATTCACTTTTGGCTCCCTCACTGCTCTTCCTCTAGAAATCAATTGTTTTGGAGGAACTCATGAGTTACAGACTTTTGGGCATCCTGCCATTTTATTACACAAGATACTAAGCAGTGAGGGAAGGGAACTTGTTGGAGAATAATTACTTTTAGAAGAAATGGCTAAACTACTTTCTTGGTGAGAAATATGTGTGGGGAAAACTCTGTAGAGGAAGGAAACATCATTAGTATTCTTGCATTCCTCTGTATTGTATTAACTCTGTAAATGGAAAAAAATTTTCACCACAAGGACAGCCAAAGAGTGAAACAGGTTGCCCAAAGGGCTGTACATTCTCCATCCTTAGAGGTTTCCAAGACCCAGCTGGATAAAGCCCTGAGCAACTTAGTGTGAGCAGGAGGTTGAACTAAAGACCTGCAGAAATCCCATCCAGCCTGAATTATTTTGTGATTCTGTGATGACTGAACTGTTACTAATCTAAGGAAATGAATTTGCAGATATTTGCTAACATCGATGGACCTCCTCAGCAGGACACTTTTCTTCATTCAGCACAAACACACAAGAGTCAACGGGCACCAAAGTCACATAAAGGCCCACATGAATGGCAAGAGAGGCTTCCAGAAGCAACCTTGGGAGGAAATAAATGGGCCTCTGACAATGAGCTAGTCTAATCAAACCCAGTGCTGCCTTCTTCCTCAGAAGCATCACAATGCATAGAGCTTTTCACACGCCCAAAGGAGGCATGAGCAATACAGCTGACAGAGTGACTGAAAGAGTCATGCTGAATTTTAGCAGTCTGGTTTTCAAAAAAGCCCAGGATAAACCACAGTTTTTGAGTTCTGATTTCCTGCTACTCTGAAAATACAGCTCTCGAAGGAAGTCCACTTGCTGTCCAAACGATTTTGTATCATTTTTGTAATAAATAGTAAATATCATAATCTAATCTCAAATGCAAATCTTGTTTCTCTCCTTCCTCATCATTATGCCTTGTCCTTAGTGCTCAGATACGGTGCTGGAAGCTTTTGCACTGCCTACAGCTTCCCCACTCTGCTTGCCATAGGTTGGCCATGGGAAGTGCCCTGTTAGATGAGCACAACTGTACAGGGCATATTTCTCCCTTCTCAGTGGTCTTAAGATTTTCTCATCCCATCATATAATATAACAGACTAGTGATAGGCTAGTCCTCATCCTAAGCACTGGACTGCATCTATTCCAGATGAACCAAAACCTGCATCTGAACATCACTGGCTACTTCAGAGGTAAATAAAAGATAAAAATACACCCTGTAAACACACATAACAGATGCCGCATAAACATCACAAACAGTCCACGAATTACAGTCTTGGTAAAATCAGTAAAACCTTATATATGCTGCCCTTCTGAAAATCAAGCCAGACCTCTTTAGAAGTCTAAAAATAGTAATTTAGGAGTCAGTCAGGCACCAGATTAGGGTTTGACCATTCTGCTGCGATGCTGACAGTGACAGAATACATAGCTACAGTAGGTAGAGGTGTAATGTGCAAGCACTCTAAAACATGAGCTGGTAAGAATAAGCAAAGAGCTGGATGATATTATTTCGTAAATGTCTATACTAGTTTCTTGCTTCTAAAATACATTAAGCACTATGAGAGGTGGGATACTGGATTACAAAGAGAACTAGTTTAATCTATGCTCTAATTTTAGAAATCTATGTAAAAGTAAAAAAAAAATTATAGAATTATAGCAATTTAAAAAATATCAGTTCCTACCTATCTCTTCAAATGACAAGTATAATTGGATAGAAGTAAGGGAAAGAAAGACAATTAGGTACATATTAAAAGAATTAAAATGTCACCACTTTAAAATACAAAATTTGAAGAATTTTTTGTGGCAGTAATTGAATTCACCATGCTGGAAGCTGATGCTTGTTTCATAGCCAACACATACAACGCCACTTCTGGGCTGGCAAACCAGCAGGTACTGGACACAAAACATGGGATAGGATGGAATTTTGTCCCTCTGGCAGCTGAAGCCAATATAATTTAGGGGGAAGGAATGTTTTCAAGTCAAATTAACTTTTTGAAAAAAGTGGATGCAATAACCTGCACAGAAGACTAACGGATGGGAATGAATCCCAGGTAAAATGGAGTAGTAGCCAGATAAAGCTAGATTTTGCAATAATTATGACAAATTTTCCCCTGCAAACGATAGATAAATACTATTTATCACGTGTCTACTACTACAAAAAAAAAACTTTTATATTATTTATATACATAAGCTTATAGTCTATTTTTAAATGTGGAGCTAGATATATTTTAAATGTGGAGCTAGATATATGTGCACCTGTATGTATATATCCACTGACTTTGGGGAAGTAATATCTCAGTCTGGGTGAAAAAGGAAACTAACTTTCCTATGTCAATGAAACAGAACGCCCCAGGAATTTTTGTGTAAACAGCCTTTGCCAGCCTAACACATTGGCTCCATCTGTGAGGAAACAACTCCAGCTGTTTTGGCTGAACAAAATGCAAACCAACTTCCTCCATTTCTTGGATATGCATGAACATGGATCTACACAGAAGTCAAAGTATTCAGGCTTTTCTGACCACAGATTACAGCAGTGCACTGTTTGTTTTATAGCCATCAACCTGCTCAATTGGATCACGTCCGCCTCAGCTTAGCAGCTTAAAATTCACTGCACACAGCCTGCAGTGCTGACATGGATATGATAAGACAGAAGAACAGAAACACCACTCTGAAGTAACCTAGCTGAACTGCACATGTTCTGACCCTTTTTGAACTCCCCGGAGCTTTTGTTACCTGACAAATGCAGCTCTAAAACTGCTCTTGTATCTCCAGATCTTTGCTCTTAGCCATGCAGAAGCCTATTTCTCCTTGGGACTGGCGGTGAGAGAGGTGCTCTCTGAAGAAGGCTTCTAAATGAGTGTGCAAGCTGAACTCTTACTGAACTGAATTAATTATTAAAGATGCAGATGGAGCTGTCCAAATGATAAGAACAGCTCCTGACGTGTCATGATCCAAGCTTTCATTAAACCATTTCAGGCATACTAATGGTTCCCCACCGCTCATTACTTACATGCTCTTTTCTCATAGATATAATAACCCTGGTGCCCAAAGGCATGACAGGCTATGGAAATAGTGAAGCTGAATGTTCCTCAGAAGACAGTCTTCCTTCATGCTTTTCCCTCCTCACCTCCCACCCTCATCTTGTGCAAAACTGCATACAGACACGAGTGCAAACGGTTATAAACTTGGAGAAAATTTTGTAATTAAAGTAGTAAGCAATATTGTCAAAAAAGAGTTTGCATATATTTTAACAGTGCTGTTAAAATGAGAAGCAGAAAAATGATTCGTTTCACATGTTAAAAGGTTTACTGAGGTGAAATTCCTATATGCTACTGATGCAAAGGATGCTACACTACAAATATGGCTCTTCTCCAGTTACACTGCACACAACACATTATTTTTCAGCCATTACACTTCTCACACTTCTTTCTGCACTCTCTCTCTCTTGCTTTCTCAATTGGGACGATTAGAGGGCAAAGCAATTGCTAGAGAAGAATTACTCCCAAGAACTGTGCTGTGATTGCTACCTGCTGTTTCATATTTTTGAAGTTGGGAATACTGCTCCCAAAGGCCCTTGGCGTCTCAGCCTAAATGATTTGCTGGAGGATAATAATGTCATGGCCAGTAAATAATAGTGAACTATGTCTGTACATGGTCAATATGATTGCATGTCCTTCACCCCTATTCTCACTCTGACCTGGTTGTGAGGAAGTGAAAAAGCCATCAGCAATGCCCAAAGCTTCTTGTAGGAAACGTTATTTTACAGCAAGAGAGAGAAACAGAGGTGACTTGGCAAAATAGTCGCAGTAACAATAAAATTAAAAGCTAGACACAAAATCAAAATTATCACCACACAACCAGACTTGAGGTGAGTCACGCAACTATTGTGACAGCAAACTTGCAAAAATTTTCTAGGAATGATTACGCTTATGTGTTGAAAAATATTACCTATCACACTGAAAATACTACGTATATCTTTTCATGTAATCGTAAGTTTAATTTAAAAAAATCTCTTCACTCTCAGACTTGAATTAATTTTAAATATATTTAGAATAAACTCTGTATAACTCTAATGGTCTAGGCATGTATCTTACAAAGACTATCATCTTTCTAATTTAATATATATACACATAAGTTTTGGCACTTCAACCTATTTCTTTGAAAATATGCTTATAAACTGCACAACTATCTGTTCTTAAGTAACTACTTAAGGGTTAAAAATAGTTCTTCATATAAACGCAAGAGTAAAAGTGACAAGGATAAGCTTATTTTAAACAGATAGATAAACACACAGATAAGCTTATTGAAATATCTGAAGACACCAGGAGGGAATAAATTACCTAAGAAAGATTGGGCAGGTACATCTTTTATAGACATTTCCAGAATCACATAGTATCAGTTTATTTTTACATGGAGAAGTATTGCAAATTATAAGCTACAAAACATATGTTTAAATAGCAAGTCGGGCATATACATGTATCCAAGTCAGCAATTTTAAAATTATGCTTGACAGTTATTCTTAAGACTGAAAAAATAATAATGACAAAATGTAATTCCTGAATTTGGAGAAAGGGGGTTGAACTTAAGTTCTGTCACTTCTCACAACCACACTGTTGTGAAAAGGCAGTGGTACAGGTAATTGCTTAGACTTTCAAAAGTATGAAAATAAATGCATCCTTCCAAACTATCAGAAGTTAGAAAAAAGATCTCTATATACCCAGTCTATGTGCCTAGCACCAGCTTTCTAGAATATTTCTCAAGCACAGCCAGTCTTTAAAGATCTTGAACTACCAGAGAAAGGTAAGTTGAACCAAAAAGTATATTTTACATTCAGCTTCCTTCCAAATTCCTTTGTTGGAGAGTGTTAGCATTATTAGTCTGAAATAACAGGGACATGTTTTTTCCCTGAGCTGAGAGATGATTATGCACTTTTTACCTGAAAGACTGGATCAAGGCTGGGAGAATGGATAACGGATGTATGAATACAACTTTCAATCTTAAATGGACAATGGGGCAGACGTTTGTAGGGATATATATGGGTGCGTATGTAAACAACAAATTTACTCAATAGATTGGAAGAATGTGTATAAGCTTTCTACTGATTGCATAATACTCTGTTATTTATAATAAAACATATAAACTTGTACATACATTACAAGTAGCATAAATACATATAAAAGTTGTTACGGATAAATGTGCATATGCAAATCACATACAGATACTGTACACATGCACCAAAATGTAAAATTTACTTAATTATCCAATACATTTGAACATTCTTTTAAGAAGTTCCATTACGCTGGATAATTAGCATTTGAATTTCTGGAACACGTGCAATACTGGGTCCTTTAAAAAACTTTTGTTTAGCACTTTATTGATTTTTCATATGACTGCACATGTCGATATGACCTTCAGAGTTCAAAGCATTAGGAAAAAAATGACTATGCCGAAGCACCACCACAGCTTTGACAATTAATCATTTAGTCAGTATGCTTTAAAGATTTCTAAACATTTTTCTGACCGTTGCTCACACTACAAATTGTATATAAGCATTTTCATGAAATGTCCTGCAAATTAGGACTGTATTGCCTGATGTTATTCAATCTTTTTTTAACTTTGCTATAACACAACGTAGAATGAATAGAAAAAAAGTTCTTACCAGAATAATAAAGGTAACAGGCCCAATGAAACTCCAGATAAAATAGTTATCTACATGGAGCCAGCAACTATGGTAGAAAAAAAAAGAAGGAAAGGTGAACAATTGCATTGTCTCCTCAGTCCAATAAATGGAAAGTGCAAGAATATTTCTTAAGCTAACATTAAGCTAACATTTCTTTAGTAAATAATGATAAACAGTATACAGTACCACTTAATCATGGACAATTTTTCCTAACTTGCAACTCTTCTGCTGTTTAATAACACCACGGATCTTGAAAATCATCAGGAATAGCTAACATGCACGAGGAAATAAAAACAAAACAAGCTCTCTCTCCTTTCAGTCAAAAGGTTCGGTCACAGCTATTGCCATGGATTAATGAACTTAAAATCTGTAAATATATTATTTTTCACAGGTTTTCCATCAAATCTTCAGCATCTGCCTTTATCTTTTTATTATATGCAAAGTGCTTATCCCCGAGGAACACAAGACAGAAAATGTTCAAATGCCATGTTTTGCAGAAAAACAGTATGGTTTAAATAAAATGCCTCAACTGGGAGTTGAACAGAAGAGAAAGAATATATATGATACCAGACCAAATGATTCGTAAACTTATTAGGGCTGACTTCACTTAGTGATAGTCGTTTCACTATAGATAGTTTCGTTTTTCGTACACCCCAGTTCCCTGCTGAATCACTTTTATTTGTCTTTCATCAGCAGCAAAATCAACTTGCTTTCTTGTAGTCAACAGTATCTTCCCATTCTGTAACTAATTTTGTCACAGGACAAAGTATACACCATTGGAAGGTAAATTCATGCCTCCAGCAACTCGAATCCTCAGAAACATCCTCTGTCTACCTTCTGTCACTTTCTATATATATCTGTATTTTATGGCTAATTTTAATCCTGCTCTACTCGCCTGATAAAATATTATCAGAGTGAAACATATGGGTTAGAATATTGTACTGTCATAAATCAGGATGAGTTAGCTAGAGGGCCAGTTGCACAAAGAGATCTAATGAAGCATTAGCTTAAAACTGGGTGGTTAAGCCTGTCAGATACTTTAAGTTGAGAAGAATTTTTACTTAATATCCATTTGAGGCCAAAAAGTTATTTACTTTTTCAATTTGTTTCAGGTCAATCTTTTGTGTTAAAAGAAAGACCATAATTTAGAATCGGTCTCTCTAGAGTACAAATCCTCTGAACCTAGAGAATTACAAAAGACTTGATTGTAATTTGTGCACAGCATTGCCATTCTCTTACCAATAAAGCTTTCAGATGGTATTTTAGTCTGTCAGGGACCCTCTGACAGCTAACAGGCTTTAAAAAATTATTCACTTGAAAAACACTCAGGTCACTTGCAATTACTTACGCTTTCTCTGTTCCATAGCTCTTATAGTCAATAGCTGCTGAGACACCAACTACTGTAGCAGGGAAGAGGTAGCCAGCAACATAATAATACTTCTTCCTAGAATATTCACTTTCAAATACTTCTACTAACATAAGATAAAGCTGCACTCCTTCTAGACACATCCAGGCAAAGGCTGCCAGGAAGAAAAAGTGTAAGAGGCCTGCAAATATTGGACATGCAATCTGCAAGGAAACAGAATGATGAAAATATAAACCACAAAATCTTGACATCGTTACATCTCGGATTAAATAGCATACAATAGAAGAGCATATACGTCTATCACGTATTTTTTGCAGGTCCAGAAGCATTTTCACCATCTGAAGCCATGTAGTGAATACTTGCAAATACTAACGTATTGACAGGAGCTACAGGAAGTATATTCAGCTAATATGCACAAGTGAAGACATACTCTTTATTTGTAGAGTAGACCATTCAATTTTACAAGTAACCCTTTAATTTTAAAATTGATATGGTATTAGGACTTACAGTTTAGATAATCTGAGACATAACAGTTGGTTTTAGATGCACAATGCAATACTGCTTCTTTGAAATTATAAAGCAGTCAGGAAACATTTTTTCTACTTTAATATCAAATTCCGTATTTTGGAAGCTTCTAATGTCATACCAGAAACCAACATAGATTTTTCCTCTTTGGCTGAATGCTGAATGAAACTCTACCAAGTTATTAAATTTCAAGCCAACCACTTCTGAGTGGCACAAATAATTTCACTAATACTTCCAAAAAATTGCACGAATGTGCAGTGTAAAAAATGGGTAAATTTATAAATAAGACTTTGTGTGTGCATGTGTGTGTGCATATACGGGTATACATACATATAAAAAGAATGTCAATAGCTGTTGACATATATATGACTATATAAAGGGAACATACATATTTCTAGCATGTTAACATTTAATTTCAGCCCCTCTTTCAGAAGTTTAAACTACCTACTTCATTAATAACTGATGTTTCTCAACTGAACATGAAAAACATTGCTGTAAGTGAGAAGTTAAGACCGCAGTAACGTTTTGATGAACGTAAAAAGTACTTATGAGCATGTCTATCTTTCTCATAGTGCTAAATATCATGAGCTATTTTCTGATTTTATCTCAGCCTTGCTGCATCAGAACAGTGAAAGCTTGGCAGTTTGTCATGTTGTAATTCAAATCTATTTCAAATAGTCAATTCAGAGAATAAGATTGGGACACACACAGAAGACTTACCTTGTACTCTGTCTTATCGATGCCTATTAGGAAAATGAACTCAGCAATGAATAGGTTGATACAAAGGTTCTTGTGAATAGTATTACGATCACTTTGTAGGCCACGGAAAAAACAGAATGTGAAGATGCAGATGGCCAGGCAAACAAGAGAGATGACAATTCCCACCCAGGTGATGACAGTGAGGAGCAATTCGTGCACTCCATCTTTGTACTAGAAATAATCAAGAATGGAAAAAATTAATATGGCTCTTTATGAGTATAAACAAAAATCTATTTTCATAGGTAGCATCGAGAAAAGTTACTTGGTCATTATATGAGATGGGGAAAATGTACTCTGTAATTTATCAGCCTCAAGTCAGCTTCTCAGAAGACCAAGATTAGGGTAGGTACAGCAGGTCCAAGTGCAAAAGATGACTATTTTTGCCGATCAGATAGCGTTTTGACTTTTCATATGAATGACCGTAAAATTGTTGGACAAGAACAAGTAGAGAGACATAGCGTTTTGAAAGTACCACTAGATTGATGCAAGTAAGTGGAGAGCTTTCACCGGGCCTCCTTTTAAAAGAATAAATTCTTTCCGATAAACCTGCAACTCCACATCGGAAAAGATGGCTAACATTGACAACGGACACAGCAATTAGGACAAAAAGCAGCATATTTTACATTTAAAACTCCAATTTTAAGATGGTTCCCCCTTCAGTTGCGGCAGACTCACTCTTGTCACCTCAGCTGGTTTTTTAGTGACCTTTCAGAATACAATGGTTTTATGAAAAGCCTCATAACCTTGCAAATAGTGCATACTCCGGGCCCCTTGACATCTGGTAAGTGCTTTAACTAAACAACAAAAATTTCAAAGTACAAACAGGCATTCAAAAACCCAGTAAGGTTTTGACCTTCCTATTGTAAAGAGAGCTGGCACTTATGCTTCCAGAGAATAGCCTGCACAGGTGCCCTTATAGTCTCCAGCTGTATTGCAGAGAAGTCTGTAAAATGGTTGTAAGGCTGGTCAGTAACTTTAAAATATGACTTGAAGAAATCTCTTGTCCTTTCTTGTCCATCTTTCACGTTATTTTGCTTGCAACTTTATGGGTGAGGAGTAAAAGTGCTATAGAAAGCAAATTGCTTGGGAAATAGTGGGCAGAAGTTATAAAAACTTAAGAAACATCAGAAGTTTTGAATCCTTCTGAAAATTTAAAGTTAAATCTTAAAAAGTTTGTTTCCTGCTCATGGCTAGAAATATCATTACTTACCACAATCTCCCGGTGAGCCATAAGAATTGCAAAGTTGGTTAGGTGACTGCAAGCACAGGTTGTATGGGTTTTATTTGTGTCAACCAGTTTGCAGCCTTGAGTTGACCAATATCCCATCATAGTCCTCTCTGAGTAGTTCCAGAAGGAACAATTTGCATTGAAATAATTGTCAGGCTGAGAGATAAAAGGACAAAATAAAATGAGTATTCCATACACTAAGATGGCAATAACAATTGTTTAATATGTTTAAAGGGTAATTTAGATTAAACTTTGCATGTTTCGGACAATAAAGCTTTTCATCAGCAAAATTGTGGACTATGTTATACATGGAAGACATCTACTTTAAAAGGGACTTTATAGTCCGAAACACTCTAAAGCGTAGTCTCAATTACTGTAGGCCCATTTTTAAACAATTACAATTTCCATCTTACGATTTTATGCACTGAGGGTACATTATAGCTATTTTTGCTTTCTGCAAAATTAGGACTGTGAATTTATTCTGAAGAGATTTCTCCCGTAACTGAGTCCATAAAAATACATTATTTTTTGTATGATTCTCACTTTTGGTCAGGCCAAAGTCATGTGAAAAGATATCAGGAAAAAATTAATTCCTCAATGCCTATCAATTTTGATGAAAAAAACAATCAAAACAGATTTACAAAACCACGGAAAATGAGAGGAAATTCCAGTCATCTTTTCTCCATGCCTGTACTGACCATTTAGTTTTCCCATGTAAAACATGAAACAGAAAGGACCGACTTAAAAAGCAAAGAAGCACATAAATTATCACAAAGAAGATACATACAGATTTGAAGCATAACACAACAGAGAGATCATACTTTGTCCTTCCCTGAATAAATGTATTTAAACAATTTGTATAGGTTTCCAGAACTTGTCTGAAATCAATGTAAAAAGTTCAAGTGTCATTTAAATTTGCTACCTCAAACAAACAAGAATCCTAACAGCTGATATCTTCTACCCTGCTACTAAGGTTAGAGTTAATTTTCAGTTAGAAACAAATTAGTCATTTGCAGTTTCATGTTGATTATTGAATTAGCTTTCATTAAGAATATGTTTAAGTTCTAATAATCACTGAACCAGGCTCATTTAATTTTATGTTCACAGACTTAACTAAACTTGTGTCGTTGACCTAATCCAACTTTTAAAATTCAAATGGAAAAAAGGTTATTTTTCTGCACTGCTTTTCCCTCGTGCTAATTTTATGACCTTCCCATTAATTCATTGGCATAACTCACATCGATGTGTTCCAGAGTGAAATGCACAGGATCGGTCAGGTACACCCGGCTGGACTCCTTGTTGATGGAGGCTGCAATGACGTGGGAGTTCACCGCAATGGTACTATTCCGTCCAGCAAAGTCGCTGCCCAGCTTTATGGTTGCATTTTCCGTACTGAGAAAACGTCCCAAGCTTTTGTAAATGATGAAAACCAGCTTTGCTAATCCTACAAAACAAAAATTCCCATCATCATGCCATGAAATTCATACCCATCAGAGAGTACAATCTGTAATCTAATGAATGGAAAATGAAGTATCAGCAAAGAGAGAGGCATTTTCAGGCTATGGATTTGAAGAAAAATGCCCAGGTATTAACTACCTCTAAAAAAAAGTCACTAAACGCTTTTATTTTGTTTTCATTCTTTAACTAGGGGAGGTAGTGTAGGTTTTATAACACGTAATGGAGGTGTCAGTGTTACATGCCCAAGACTCACCGTTCCTGCTGTTCTGCTTCACAGTGCTTGCAGAGAGCTGAATCGAATTGCCGCCTTTACTGCCCTGAGGAAACTTCAAGTCCTGCACCTGGCCCTCAGTAATGAGCACTGCAACATCCAAAACTAGGTGGACCAGAGAAAAAAAGTGGTAAAAAGAAGGATGCAGAAAAAGTCTTTTGGCCAGTTTGCAATATGCCCAAAGATGGCATTTCCCCCTACTCTTTCTTTAGTTTCCTCACACTGCTGTCCTTATTTGCCTCCATAAGACAGATCTGTACTGGCATATTTCAATTACACAGACTTAGTTTCTTTAAATTTTAATTAAACCTAGTGCATGCTACTGAAATGACAGCCCTGTAATAGTGAAAATATGACATCAAACCTTTTTTTAATATGTGCCCCAAAAAACCATCTTAAAATACCACAAATACAAGTGTTGCAGAGAAATGTTTATTCTGAAGCTCCATAAGCCTATACTGCTTAGCCACTGCTACAGATCTAGATCTTTGAGTATTGATTTAGATATAATAAGGTTTTGAAACAGTCAGCAAATGAATAGCTAAATACACCTAAGCAGTGTATTTAGTGAAATCAGTATTTATACCTAAAAAACATTCTAATATTTTTTCTAATTCTAACTCTATATAAAGGTTCATAGTAAGACATTTATTTGTCCGCTAAAAAAGTATTTTAAAGTGAAAAAACTTAGATGCAATTCATCCTTACTTAAGTTCTAATTTTATACCACATTGTATACAATGGAGCTTTCACGGGATTATCACTGAAGGCCAGATTCTTCTGGGCCTGGAAAATCACAGAGGTCAGGGCAGTCAATTTATCATCAAATATCTGTGTTATGTTAAACTCGGTACATAGACGTACAAAAGGTATGGAGTTTGTGAATGATTTCTTATTTGCTAAAACTCCTACACGCATGTGTGTTGGGAATTCAGCATGGGTCTATTCAGTTTTACATTAGACCAGTAGTGTACTACTAATCATCGCTTGAAGACAGCTTATCATAAGCAGTGATGGTCAGACAGTCTGCTGAACTCAGTGGAACTGCTCATTTATAACCTAACTGAAATGTCTGGCTATACTGTCTGCCTTAGGTGCCTCTGCCTTAGGAATGAAATATATGATAGTTGGGAAAAGGTTCTTTGATTTTTAAGCAAAAACAAAGGTATTATGCTATTTAGGGCCTTTATATAAGTGAGAAGAAATGCTAATGGTTAATTTCAGCCCAGACTCTCAGAGGATTTTCTGCAATTCTACCCACATTCCTTCAGGAACAACTGGTGCAGTTCCTTTAATAACAGATTGTAACACCCTTCCTGACCCTTTCCCAGTATCTTCCTCCTCAAATAAAAACTAGAAGTAGAATCATCTTCTACAGTTACAATTATGTAGATATCAAAACACAAATTTAAAGTCTAATTTCTACAGTTTATTTCAGGTCTCTATCTCGGCACTCCTTCACATTACCAGACTTTCAGCTTTCTTGTACCTCACTGAGACTTCATTTATCGCCATAATAAGATGAAGGTATTTTAATTTTATGCATAGCAATGGTTTTTGCTGTAACACATCCCACCTCCCAATATTTGCACATCTCTAATAGCAAACCCCTTCATTTCTCTGTCACCACTTAAATTTCAAATTATGCTCCGACTATCTTCGGCTATTTGGCAGTCTCTGAAGCATAGCTATTCTGCATTATGGGAGATGTAGTCCACTGAACACATTTTTACCTGAAGGCAGTCATGTTTAATATAAACATTTGGCTGATGTTCTGAGTGCCTAAAATATTTAACCAGCAAAGCGCAATGCAAAAAGTAATTTAAATTCATTAGGAAGAGATTATATATAATGGGAAAGCATTTCTGCAGCTCTACAGAAAGCAGTTACCTCAAAAAATCCATACTCTGCCATTTAAGCGCTCTTCATATCCATATGTTCTGCTAACGATTTTTCAGTGGTAAATCGACTTTGCAACATCAACTACTTTACATTTTACAGTGTATTAATAATACTAAAGAAGAATGCTAATTTTGTAGAACTATACAAGAAAAGCACTTCTCCCCTGCTTATGAGCATTTCTTTTCCTGCATGGGCAGGTATAGCTTTCTAGCAAACACTGCCTACCTCAGCTTTCAAAGAGTATCTGGCTATCGAGAATATTTTTTGTTTTTTTGCATAATGCAATGCAGAGCACTGTAATTATGCTTAAAAAGAAATTCACTTACCAATATTTTCTGTGGGCATTGAGACTCTAGTTGGTTCTAAGAGATTATCAGCCAAGACAAAAGCCCCTTCTTCTAAAGTATCAAGTAACATGGTTGCTGCATGGGCTTGTTCGGAAGAATTCATATCTTTCCAGGACTCGAGAGCTTCAGGCCTGAGCAGGTTGTCCACTGTATCAACAATTGCCTGCATTCATTAGAAAACTATCATTAGGTCTGACTGCCCCAGGCAGCTGGGGAAAATTTCCAATGTTATCTGGTGACAATTATAATACTTAACTGTCAGAATGATTTACTGTGATTTAATGGCACTAAAAAACTATTGCCAACATAAAAAATATTTTCCATCCCCTTGCTGAATTAGTATTAACAGAAGCGCAGCCACTAGCACTGTGTTGTCCCTAAGTGGGAAACACGCATATTTGACTCGTCTCATGTCAGATATAAAGATCGACTTATTAATGTCCTAAAAAATTAAAAATAAATGCTAGAAGTTTTGCCCGAAGCTTTCATCTTAAAGTTAATGTCAAAATATATAACTTCTATTTTAAAATACTAATGCCAAAAATGGCATTATGTAGTTTCGGCTAAAATGACAGTAACGCTAGTCCAGAAACTTAAGACAGCTCAGGCAGCGATAGCACCATAAACTACTTGTCTCTGACAAACTGCCTGCTTTATTACAGGAGGCATGAAATGAAGCTAACTCAGTGGATATAAATTAGCCTGGGCCACTTCACTCCCCCTTCTGTTCCTGTACCTGTTCGCAGATATTTTAAAAGATTGCTAACTCCCATTCCTGCACAAAGGTCAGATAAAAAAGGAAATCAATAGAGCAAACAAGATGTCCACTGACTGTCCCTGTTATCAGCAAAGACAGAACTGTAAAACTGAGTAAAGCTGCCATTTAAAAAAAATCTCCCTTGTAACAACTCTATCATCATGTTTTAAGGTTCATTAGGCTGCATATAAAGTAACAGTAAATAAGGAGGAAAAAAGAATTCAGAGACATCATTATTTTTACAAAATAATCCAATCAATCACAGTAATCAGTTAATCAATTGAAGGCAGGCTCTTACATTAATGCATAATGTAGCTGTGCATTGAGTATGCTGTGCATTGAGTATGCCATGCATTGCTGAAACACCATGTTTGCTCTGTCCCATTCACCGAGTCATAATGTGTCATTAACCATATATATAATTTGTCTGATCAATTTAAAAGCATTGGGAATGCAAACAGAACATATTGCACAAACAAAAATATGTTGGTCTGGAATACTATATTGTGCAAATAAAGGAATAGAAAAAGTTGGTCAAGGCTATTGTCAGAGCAAGATTAATTAGCCTAATCCATTTTAATATCCTCTTTCTGTCTGCACTGTGAGCCACCACGACCTTCCTGGCAGGTGGAAGATACTTCGAAGTGGCATTAAAGCCTTTTTTCTTTCTCTAATGGGAGATAGAATAGTCAAAATGCTCACACTGATACTGCTGCAGCCATTAACTAGAGTGGAACAGAAACTGGTCTGCAGAGGCCAGATTCATTAGTCACCAAGAAATACAGATTGGAGCCTCTAATCTGAAGTACAAATGAATCCTCTGTCACAAAGTGGGAACTTGCTTCATTTGCATAGTGTAAGTCAGCTTTTGATTTGTAATTTCAAGAGGTTTACTCGTCTTATCTAAGCAGGGGAGCTCGTTTGAGACCTATACAAAATGACACCAATCAGAAATGAAGGTTGTGCCAAAGTTTCTTGTGTATCTCTATACAGTGCTGATGGTATACATTAATTAATATGAAATGCTTTTTATTTATTATGGGATAATCTAACTCTGGATTCTTCCATTGGAATTAGAATGACCATCTGTGCAATGACACTTCTGAGGCATTATCTCCCCTCAGACAAAAGAGAGAGGGAAGGAGGAAAGACCACACTACCCCTACAATGCATCAGTTGAAGCAACCCATTTACTGCTCTTCACACAGTAATAGCTATCATTGAAAATTAAAGTATGAAAATTCAGTTTGCTCCAACAATACCTGCTGGATTACCTTTTACTATGAAAAATAATATTTTGTAATACAAATCTATTAAAATTATTATTTGTGAATTTAATTTCTCTCATTTCTTTTTGTCCATTTTGTGCTATAACTGGTCATCTCCCATCTCTCTTCTAGGCTGCAGGATGAAAGAGAGAAGGACTGTACAGAGAGCTGTCTCTTCACTAAGTCTGTATTATTTTATTATGTTGAAAAGTATTTCAAAGTTCTTTTTAAAAATCGTTCTTACATTTAATCTCAGAGGTACAAGTAAAATCCAGTATTTTAAAAGAAACTTTGAAAAAATATGCAGTAAAATTTTTAAGAGCCTCAGACTTGATCTATTCGAGGACTCTTCTTAACAGGACTGGGGTGGCTTTACTGACACTGTATCACAGTAGGAGCTGACAACTATGGACAGTCACTCTTCAGGAGATGAAAGAAACTGAAAAACAGGCAACATATAACCTGGCTGGTGGGACAGTTGGTATATATTTTGCTAGTGAAGCTGGAGAAATGCTTTTCTTTACATTTTATCCTGAAATTGCTGAATCTGGCCTTTGTAAGATCTCTTAAAACTGTAAGAGTGATTTTATAGGTATAAAAATGCACAAGGAACAAAGCAGGCTATATAACGTAAATTTTTCATGCAAGTAAGTTTAGTCTAACCAGTCTTTGATACAAAAAACTACCAAGGTGAAGTAATTTCTGATCAGTCGCCAGCTTTTTCCGCTACCCAAAGTCATATTATGAGGAAAGAAATGTTACTTCCAATTCAGATAATAAACATTTCTGTTCTTATACTTTTGAGTAAGTGGAGGCAGAAGAGGTATAAACTTTGATCTTTTTCTTTTCTGAGAGTGTTATACCTGTGCAAAGTCAACATTTGTACAGTTGATATGGGGCACAATACACATTTATCAAAGACTGAAATACATAGGATCATGCAGCAAGATGATAAAGCGTGGCAGGTTGCTGAAGCAGGGAGAAAGCAGGGTGACAGCACAGGAGAGATACCTTAAGGTAAGCCCTGCATGTCTTCTCTCGTTTTTGGAGCTTTTTAGTAAGAAAAAAGAAAATCAGAAGTTAGATACATTCTGGAAAGCTTCAGAAATATCCAAAAATAAGTCTGGTGTTTCAAATCCCGAATTTGAACTATAGAGTCTGGACATTAATTTAGTTTCTGTGCAGTGATGATCATAAAAAATCATCATACAGAAAACTTTTATTCTAAACCTTAATACAGATGCTGAGATATCTTTGACCAAACAGTGGGATTTCTGTGAAAAGGTCCATGGAGAAAAACCTTGTGTGAGCACCACGTTCGTCTCTGGGGAAACTCTTCTGAGGGTAGCTAGGGATTTTAAATCAAACTATTGCCAAAATATTAAAGGAGCAGAAGGATCTCTCTTAAGTAGGCTGAAAAATGTTTCGTTTGTAGCCTGTTGACTAAACCAAGGTAAGGAAGAGACCATGAAGTCCACTTCCTCCGAGAAAAACAGGAACGATAACACCTTTGTGATTTGCATCTAAAACACTAAGACGTAAGTTTTCTCTGAATAACGATTCCTAATTCCAAACATGGGGCATATTTTTAATATATCAATTATAACTACTGTTGGGTCTAAAAAAGGCTAAGAAACTGCTATTACTCTGCAAGAAGTCAGATCAAAACAAAATCCTGCACCTATACAGAATCCCACTGATTTTATTATATATACAGGGTGATCATTAAAAGGGTCACTGGACAAAAATGCTGATTTGTTACGGAATTTCCGAGAGCTCCCCTCACACTAGTTGTAATGCATTCTGTGTTTTGATAAGGGACACACAGCTATTCTGTTTTTAGGACCAGTCAGCTATGGTGAATTATATCATATCACCTACAGAAGGGAATTTAAACATTCTACTGCATATTTACTGCTGTTTTCTCTCGCATGTTTATTCCAGAATTATAAGCACACAGGAGTAAAATAGGGATTTGGCAGTAATATTTCTGAAAGGAAAAAAAACGAAGGGCAATGGTTATTCCAGCAGGAGGGGGTGAAGAGAGGTGTGTACCTTGTTATAACTCCTTCCCGCAGAGTCTTTTTCACTGGGCCTCAGTTCCTGCAGCTGAGCATCAAGAATGTCCACGAGCTGCTCCATCAGCCTCACCGAGGAGCTGACATCCCCGGCAAACACTGGTCCTTTGGTGTGTTTAGCCAGTTCATTGGCCAGACTAGCAGCATTTTCTCCACTTCTGATCTGAAATGACAATTTATATTATCTCAGCAGGATCCCTTGTTCTGCTTGCGGCTCCTAATTCCAATTCCCCTTATACCTTTGTTGTGGTGAAATAACCATTTGCACATGCATTCAAATCTGCAACTAATTGAGACCAATAATGTTCTCTTTATCTCAGAAGATTAAAGGTTCTTAGATGCGTGACACACAAAAGCAGTCCTTAACAGCCATCAAAATCAGAAATCAGACTGGGACTTTTGGGCTAGATCTTCTGTTTCATCCTCACTTTTATTTTACTGCCATTATCAGACACTAAGAAATCTATTTGTTCATACGAGTGCTTGAAGCATTTGAAAGTCAAGTAGCCTGGTACTGACAACAAATTACTCCATTTTCATAAACTTAGTAAATCTCAGTAGGGAGGGAAAACACAGAAAGTGGCTCTGAGCTCTAATCATACTGTTATTAATGCACTCACATGAAAATTTATTTTTTACAGAATAATTTTTCCCCAACTAAAAAACTGCTTGTACACCACACATCTTGCTGTGTGATTTATAATATTTGATTCATTAAGCAAATACAGCTTTTGTTTTTTGAACACGAGGCAAGCTATTTTGCTTTAAATAGTGAGGAAATTCCATGAGCACAGATAGGGTGCAAGAACTTAGAGCAAGAGTTTACCAGAACCCACAGGTGAACCTAACTTTTGGTAAATGCTTTACACATCAAGCACGCGTAACTCCCTCTATTTTAAATGAACGGAAAGTAGTACAGACAGTTTCAACAAACAAATTGAATTACTAACGCTCCGAGTTAAAATCCTCAGCCACCAGCGTACACCATATTAAAAGGTTCCAACCAACCTTCTGCGCCAGCTGGTTTACCCAGTGCGAGGTGCAGTTGCTGAGATCGGGGCCCCTGGGGTTCCACGTTCCAGTTAAAACCACACACAGATAGGAGGCCGTTCCTACAACAGATGTAGAAAACTACAGTGAAACTGAAACCATTCTTCTGCATGCATTTAGGAAATCAGCTACAATGTACTCCTAACCGATGTTAAATTCTGAATACCACTAATGGAAGTAGCTGACAATAATTGACAAAAACATTAAGAAAATAATGTAGATTACAAACAGCGATAAAAAAGTCAGTGAAAAGTACCAGACGTTTTCTGCAAACAAACAAAAAGCCCTTGATTTTTCCTGGAGCTCATCCAGAGGGGGGCTCATAACGAGAAAGGCAGCTGTAAGTGTATTTCACCACCGTTCTCAAGCAAAGAACTAAAATTTGACCTCGATTCTCAAAGAGTATGTGCACGGCAACTCTGTGCTGTGCTCAAACACCTTTTATAGTCTGCAGCCTGACCACCGCCTGTAGATACTGCATTCTCCAAGTAACAGAAACATCATGAGACAGCTTGAGATTAAAAAAATTCACTGTGAGAGAGCTGCACGTTGCTTTTGAAACGTCTGCTTGAAATCAAGATATATTTTTGAAGGCAATACCTCGTGTTCCTTTGGGGCAAGGGCGTTCAACCACCATTCCTCTTTGTGTCTGAGGCCAGCTAATGCCCCTGGCCTCAGTCGGTTCACAGAATCTCTCTGGTAAAGGGAAAAAACTTGTCACTGGAGGAATTTTGGTTGTGGAAACTGGTGGCGGTGGCTTGGGTCCTCTGCTTCCTTCCTTCACTCCTCCGGCTAATGTTGTGCTTACGGGACCTTTCTGTGACGTAGTGCTAGTGGTGGACACTGTGGTTTTGTATAGCTCTGCTGAAGAAGTTATTGTCACTGCTGTGGTAGGCACTGCACAGAGAAAATTAGAGTAATAATAAAGTAAGTGACTTCAGAATGATCAAAAAAAGTTTTTAAAATGTTATTCATGTGGTTTTGAAGGATTCTCTTGTGTCTCCTTTTCTTTATCTCAATATCACTCTTTTCTTATTGCTATATTGGGTGCTTATGATATAACATTGCAGGAGTTTCAATTTGTTTTTAATCCCAGCCCATACCAATATGTTGTTTCAACACGTTCTCCGAATAATCTCTTCCAGAAGAAAAAATGATAGTTACATTTTTGAAGGCTGAAAGGCAGTACTAGTGAGTTATCAGTACATAACCAACATACTCAAAGCAATTAATGATTTCCTAATCATTTTTGGAGAAGGAATAACTCAATAGACAGACTCATTTGAATCAGCATGCCATAAACAATACAGTTCAGCTTTAACAACAAAAGTAGTGGGCTGTAACTAACTAGACCATTTTAAAAAGCAGACCCAAAAACTTCAAGTCACCCACAACACACCTTCCAGGAAAATAATTACTCTAACATCTTCCCACCCGGCAGTCATTCTGCGTGAGAGACTCGCAGCATGCCTGATTAGCTCCAAACAGAAGAAAAGCACGGCAGGTGCGTGCTGTTTTACTGCTTGAACATTTCAGGCTTTAACTTCCTTTTTTGATAAAGCAGGTATGAAGATAGAACTCATTCAAGCCAGTGGCAAGTACATAGTTTAATCTTTGATGAAACACTAGGCTCGGTTTAGGCCAAGTCTTTTCTGACTGAGACTCACAACTGGTCTTTCCACCGACCCACAGAGGAAACGAAGTGTTGGAACCGATGAGATATTGCCAGATCTATTTAATTTTTTGGGACGTTGGAGAGATAATACTAGTTAATACTAGTGGAGATAATACTCTGTAATCTCCGCTCATCACCTTGAAATGTATATTGAGCAACAGCTGAAACAATGCAAGCAAGTAATGGAATTGAAATAGTTACCATTAATTATTTCCAAATCTTCATTAGCATTCACAGTGTTTTATAGCCACATAAAAGCACAGATCATTGTGCTGAGGAATAAATAAGCTCATATCAAGTCTGCTTTTTATATCCTTCCTGATATAGAAATAAATGAAGCTAATTTTAGGATTAACTTTACTGTATAAAGTGAGGTTTTTTTTTTTTTTTTGCTCTTCAGCCCTTGAACACTGAACAATGTATGTTCTTAAATTAAACCACAAACAAAAACAAAAGAAGAGACTCTTAGCTTTCATCCAACGGATGTTTTTTAAGTTTGTGTTTTGAATAAGATTAACTTTCAGTAGTTTGGAAAATAAACAACTATTATTTCAAAATCCTCTTTTAATTATATTCCAGTTACAACAATTTTTTATGAGTATCATTAATTTATTATTTCTATATGAATTTAGAATGGAGTTTTTGAATATCAGAATCTATTTTGAAAGAGTATATACAAAGTTGCCCTTTTTAACCCTTTCTTGCTCGCAGATGAGAAACTTCTTCAGAGAGTGCCTTCCGCCCAGTCTAATTCTTAGTTGTTCGAAAATAGCCCATGTAATTGTGACAAACTTCTTGTGTAATCATCTACTGCGATTCAGACCTTTGTATCTGCGCTGCAAGTGCTTGCCCGACATCTTGGGCAACTGCTGTAATTTCCTTTTGATTACAGTGCATCCGGCCTGCTAGCGCTCTCCCAATTCACGTTTGCCCAAAGCATCACAATCGCTTGCAGCAGTGTCAGGGTCCTGGGGAAGAGGGAGCTGCCAGGGAAAGGGGAACGAGGCAGGCGACAACCAGTTACTCTACCATCCCCTAACATATTTTGCTGGTTAGTACATTTTAATCACTGAAACTGGTGTTAGCAATATTGCTAACATTACTCAGTCCTACAGAGTTTAGGCTGTCTTTGCCTCCGGAGTGAAATAGCCCTGTAGGAATCTGTAACAAGTGCTGGAAGTTTAGAAGTGAGGTAAAAATTTGCAGAGCATATTTTGTGTTCAACCCTGAGCTAAGATACTATGCTGTCATTATGCAGCTTTAGGTAGACCAATTTTAATGCCTGCCATTAAAATGCATTCTAAAGCATATAGTCTATGATGCAAAAATGACCCGCATAGCTTAGCAGTAACACATACTTTTGAAACTTGTTTAGGAAGACTTTTTAAGAAAAAGAATTTAAACCACCTCTCTCACAAAACTAAAAAGAATGTAGATCATTTCTAAGCAATTTCCTCTTGATTTACATTTACAAATGCAGCACTCCATATATTTAAGAATGTACCAGGAAACTTGAGGCAGTGCTGGAAGTCTCAGAAAGGAGGAAGTTGAAAAAACAAGACCCAACTGAACACATCACTTTAGGAATGCATCTAGCATTTAGAAGGCAGATCATTTTGTTTTTAATGACCTACTGGGGAACTTAATCTGCAAGGTCATTGTCCTGAGTTGTACGCAGACACATGATAGCTGCCACCACCTGATGTTTCTCGTTCTGCAAGCCCTGGGTGATGGCATCTGCAGGCTCCCACGCAACATCTTTCTCAGTGCTTTATAGATATAAGATAATGGCAGTGATCATTAATAAGCTGCAACTACGAAGAACAATCTCCATTTAGGGGTTATTAACCTATCACTCCAAGCAGCATGGGTGAGACTGTAAAATGCTGAAGATATGCAATTTCTGTCCAATGCCAAAAAAGCAGGTTTCACAATTTGAAATTTTATTTTGGACTTTTTGACTGGGCTTGACATGCCAAGGAGAAAAACAAAACCTCTGCTGCCTTCTTTCTTTTCTTCTTCTTCTTCTTCTTCTTCTTCTTTTTTAAGAATAGGTGTGTTTCATTGTCAACTGTAGATAGTCTTTGTAAAATAAAAAATAAGAAAAGAATAATAGGAAGAAAATTCAAAGACAGAAGTAGAGGATAATTAATTTACATTTGTTTCATGCATTACCTAACACCTGATTTAAACAGTTATACGTACTATCTGTTTCTAAAAATGAAGATGCCACTGGAGTAAAACTTAACACCTGTTTAACAGTGTGATGTCTATAAAAAACATAACACAATTGCCTAGGACAGCAGGGAATAGTAACTTTGTTTCCCCAACTGACAGAGAAGAGTAGATTTAGAGAAAGCATTAATTTTGAAGCTATTTGGTATTGATTGCCAACAGGTTTCAGCTCTAAGTAGGCACTAAATACTTAAGAAAAAAATCTGACGTTGGATGCTAAAATCTTATTGAAATGCCTAGATGATGCATCACTTCTGAAATTCTAATGGTTCCATTTTCATCTCCCTTTTCATCCATTTCATCTCTAGATGATTTTAGAAAGTGGTTACATTGATTTTTCAGTTAAATGTATGTTTTTATAGGTCAGACGTTTAAAGGTATTTGGACATCTGAAAATACAGACACCCACTTTCCTTTTCAAAACATGTCACGCACTGAGCTAGCACATAAAGCAATGGGGATCAGAAATCGATGGAAATGGGGATCTCCCTGCCTTCTGCTGGCTCCTGCTACGTGCCTAACTGTTTTTATGCGTCAGTGCATAAGGGGGAAGCCACTAAGAACTTCTTAATTGCCTATAGTTTCCAGCTACTACGCTGGTCAGCATTCTATTGACCCTGCCAAATCCCATTCAGTTGAAAGCAAAATGTTTACACAATCATTTCTAAATTTATACCTGTAAATGATAATAAATATGCTACAAAATTAGCAAAATTGCTATGATTAAAAAATGTGCTATCTGGTCCACACTATGCTGTCTTTATTTGTATAGCCACTCTTTAATCAATCTGTAGCACAGCAGATTCAAGATAATAGGAAAGAGCTGATTTACTTAACAATTTGCTGCATGACTTCATCACAGGTTCTTGGGAGTTACAAAGATTTATCTGCACTAGGTTTCTACTATTTTAAGCTGTCGGTGATGGTACTCTCAGAAGTTCTGCTCTGTCCACACCCACAACATCCATATTTTCCTGCAGTGATCCAATAAAACTTAATGATGGGTATCACGGTACAAAAGGGGAGACTGAACTCCCGTTCGAACAGCTTTGC